CTCTATACCGTTCGCTAGGCTCCTAGGATGAAAACAAAAACGGAAAGAAAAAAAACAAAATTTCGAAATTCTAAAATTTTCTGAAAATAATAAATGGTATGAAAATTCAGAGCCCTGTTCTAGTGATGCTGCCTTCCAGTGAACCGTGGAACACTGACCGACTAGACCACCAGCCCATTGCCCACGCAGACTTGCCTCCCAAACCTCGAACACCTAAAATGATTTTTTTGCCGGTGCTGGGAGAAAAGTGGGCGGGGCTCAGCACACCTGGCATAATCCTTCCCGTGGGAAACTCCGCCCCCTTTTCAAACGTCGTAGGTACTGTTTGCGTCATCAGATAAGTAATTAGGGAGCAATAAACCGACATTGTGAGCGATGGTTTGACATGCATGTGACAGGGTGAAGAGAAAAGACAATAGATGACCTGATTCGCCTCTTTTGACCCCTTGTTATCGATGGGGAACAATGAAGGAACACCGCCAAGGATTTTCCGCCAACCACCAATCCCTGAAAAGTGCACAATTTTCTAGACCTTCTAGATCATTTTCAGGTTTTCACGAATAACAGTTCACCGATTTACAAACATTGGAAAAAAAGTTCAATTTTAAGCTAAGACTCAAACTTTCAAGCCCGAATCTCTTATTTGTACAAACTTATGGCCTAAATATGATGTTTTATCAGAGCCAAATATTGGTTTCAGACTTTTGTCCATAACTTCTAAAAGATCAACTTTTTTTTTTGATGGAGGATGGAACAACAAAATTCACGGGAGACGGAAAAACGATTAGTTCAAAATTGCAAATTTGAAATTGGTTTGGCAGTTTGACGGATCTGCGCAACGAATTTCGGAAACGTTTACTGAAAATTCTAATAAAGTCGACTAAATTAAATTTCAATACAGAAAATGAAGATTACAGTAATCCTCATCAATTTTTTAGTGTTATTGCTAGCGATGGAGTATTCTTCATAGTTGCAAACGGGCGGACTGATAACTTGTCTCTTAAACGAGATATTCTGACCGAAAAACCCCGAGGAATGAAATGAAACTAGCATTTTAGACCGCCTCAAACTAAGAGGGATCTCAAATTCACTGGTATCTACCAAAACTAGTCAATTTTTACACTTTTTGGAATCCTCCAGACTAGCTGAATTTGAAAATATAATTTTCATAAAGGTTTTGATAAAATCCAAAAAGTTATGGGCGTTTTCCCAGGAGCACTGCTCAACACACCACCTGCGTCTCTTGTCTCTCTATGGTCCATTGTCTTTGTGACGCCACCAATACTCAAAATTTGAGATCTTGGTGTAGATAACCACCTGTCCAATCGATTAGTTGGGGATTAGTCACTCCCTAGGCTATGTTCGGGGGGTTTTTCTCGTTTTTTCTTTGTTAATTAGTTATAACTTGTC